GAAGGGAGATCGTGGCTCTCCACTTCAAATGTCTGCTAACTGGTCATGCCGATAGTATCATCATAAGGTAGGCATGGTATGTCCCTGTCTCCTATTTAGTAGGAGGACACACTGTTGGGGACGTGACCTCCCCTGTGGCATGCGTGGGCAGCACACTCGGTGTTGTTGACATTATGTTTAGGTGACAACCTTTGTGTGGCCAGCCTTTGACCCTTCAGGTGGAAGGAAAAACCTAGCAAGTTCTGTGTCATCGGACGCCCATCCATAGGGGAGCACTAGGTTGTGTGTGTTTATGGGGGGGGGGCACTCCACCACCGTGGGGCCCATTTGGCTATAAGGGTCCCCAAACATGGTTCTCGGTCCAACCAAGTTCCCTCAGTTCGAGTTGGGTCGGGAGAGGGGGGTATCCCTTGTATAGGTTCTCGTTAATAGCCCGTGCACCTCCTTATTAGAACTTCAAAGGAGTCGTGAGGTGGTTTTTAGATCTTATCTTTATTGCATCATCGTTTTTCTTTTATTCCTCCGTGTGAGCACAGAGCGCACCCACGGGCTGAAACCACCCGCTTTGTTGCATTCGTTTGGGAGCGAGCATTGATTCCACGATCCTTTTGCCCGATTCAGTGGATTTTGGGGGCCCATCGGGCTCCTTTCCTACATTAGGAACCCGTGGCTTCACCTTTTACTCGGCGAATGGATTGCTGACCCAAGATGTGATGAGGACACGCCTACGATGTCCGAATATTTTTTTATGAAGATGCCCCAATCTTTCATCTTACAAACAAAACCAAATGGAAACATGTGTTAGGCGACAAACGACCTAAAAATCAGCTATGCTGATTTCGGCCCACTTCTAACGAGCGTTCTAGCTCTTTGTAGCATGTGGTCAATGTAAACGTCAATTCCTCTCGTAACTAATTTCAGGTTTTTTCCTTACTTTGACTCTAAAATGAATAAACACTTGTGGCTATTTTTAAGGAAAAAAGGAAAGAAAAGCACTGGTATATATTGAAGGCAGCATCATGCACTACTACAGGAATGGTTTCTAGGGGTGGCTGGTGAGGTTTTGTAGAGGCAGTTCGGCCAGCCGCCCCTACCATATCGTCTCAACAAATCATGCATTTGTAGGAGCGGTTACCAGACCACCCTTACAAATCGATTTGTAGAGGCAGCTGGTGTTATCAGCCGCCCCTACAATGTAAGGGTAGGGGCGACTGGTAACACCAGCCGCCTCTATAAAATTGATTTGTAGAGGCGGTCGTAGTACCAACCGCCCCTACAGTATATTTTTCCGTAAAAAAATTCAAATTTACAATTCAAATTCGACCATAACACACACACACATATATATATATATATATAGCATTTCATAATCATCATGTCTGATATTATGAAACTATTGTACCAAAAACAAAGTAGGCATGGACTCTGTTAGATTTATTGCATACGCAGAAGATAACTATTAAGTTTGTTATACATAAAGACTAACTAAGTCAGCCAAAAGGTAAAACAAATTAGCCACTGTGAAGATGGTTCAGGCGCATTACTTGCTGTAAAATGTAATGGAAAATAGTTTTACCTGGCGAAGAAATTGTGCAAATTAGTGTACTGAACATCCATGTCTTTTAGGACTGTCCATAGCACCAAAAACTCAATATTCCTGCAAAGACATAGTAAATTAATATTTAATCTCTTGCTTGAAACAAAATTCCAATTCTAAGAATAGGTGAAAAAAATTCAGTGAACTTTGTCGTTATTAAGAAGCAGGCCAGCAGTTTGGAGACCGAAGGGAGCTTAGAGGAACTGAGGATAAGATCAGGACAACAACACCAGTCCAGTCAGGATTAAAGCATGAAACAACACTGATTAAGTGCCTACAGAAGGTCATATAGAAGCTGGTATGAACTGCATGGATCATGAGACCTTAGATGGATGGGCCAGGAATTTAAAAACTTGTAGAAGCTCATATAGGAACAACTGACACAGCTGAATGACTACTCCATAATGATTGAAATGTTTTATCGTACCTTACATTCTCAAAATCTCCCTTGCATTCCAAGCACCGAAGAGAAAGCCTTTTGTGCCTTACTCCAGAAAGAGAAAGAGAACGAAAAGGAAATCTAAAAAGAAAAAAAGAAAAAAAAAGATAGCAACTTATGGAGCAAAAGTTTTGATCCTGAATTCACCATAGGGCATTTTTAATGAGTTCTAGGTAGTTTCAAGCAGCGGTTCAGAAAAAACACAAGTTAGTAAACTGTGGGTATATAACTAAAGAGAGCCTAAACAAAATCTTAAAAAAATAAATAAGATAGTAACCTATGGAGCTAAAGTGTTGTTCCCAGATTCACAAAAACTTGGGCACTGATAATGAGTTCCAAGTTATTTGAAGCCGCAATCGAGAAGAAACAAAAGTGTGGGTATACAACTAAAGCCCTCAGTGTGTGCGCCTAGCTGCATCTAAAAAAATGTGGGGCTGAGCGCTAATTGAGAGAACAAATGGCCTAGTTATGGAACTGTAAAATTTAGCTCTGGATCATGTACCCCTAAATTCCTTGATCTACATCATTTTTGATAGGAAGCAAAAATAGTGATAAAAAACACATATACTATCAGCTAATAAAAGTCCTTCAATTTTACAACCAAAGACACATATACTGAAGTAAATAAAAAAACGGTAAAGAAAATTAACCTTTGGACAGCCGGTTACTAGGCGACATCTGCTATCAGCTGAAGAAAGCCTCAAGCCGTGTACAACCTCCAATTTAGCAACCTTCATACATAAGACACATGCACGAGAGAAGTTAGTTGCCAAAAAAAGAGCTCATCCATAACTTCACAAAATCTACCTGCACAAGCCTGGAGCAGTAGAGAAGAATGGCAGATAAACTATTACACATGTAAGCGACGTGAAAATCAATAAACTCATTTGTAACATAAACAAGAATAAAACTGAGAAATGAAACTAAAGCATGTAATTGTTAATACAGGAAGTACAATCTTCCGTGAAGTCCTAAGAGAAGGCAAGACCATAAACAATTTATTTTAGCTCTGAAAGTTGATGGAAAGGGAATTATTTGCTTGAAGGGGCTTTCCAAAAAGCTGACTATAACGACAATAGCTGAGAACCCACCTTTGAGACAATAGTTCCATTATCCGCCTGAACTTGTCGAAACTTGGGGGTGTTGACAAATGCACAAACAAGAAGGGTGTAGTCCGATGTCCAATCGTCTCGATACTCAGCACCCATGTTCAATGCTTATCAATGAAACATGCTCCTCTTGGGGTTCACGAACCCTGACAGCACAAACACCACCCCGTCGTACACAGATGTATGAAATCACCAATACAGAACAATATACATGCATATATATCTGATTGCAGCTGTGGCGAATAGATAGGTACCAAAAGTTTTGAGAAATCAGGCCCTTTCTGAGCCTTCTGGGAGGTGTCTGCATGTTTCTTCTTGGTTGAATCGTCCTCTCCATCTTTAGAAGAACCCATCCAAGACGGGAGGCTTCTCTTGGAACCAGACATTTTTTTGAGCAACCGAACTACACCACTCTGCAGACGGGACAATATTATTATGCGCGCTGAACAACACCCATGTACACCCGATAATTTTTGCAAGAAATAAAAAAAATCAAAGTTGGTAAGCATAATACATTTATACACTTAAAACTTGCAATTAGATCAGATCCAATTACAAATAGCCAAATAGCTTAGTCAGGGCTTAGGTGCTCGGTTTCGCGCAGCAGGAAGGGAAACGAAGCAGATAGCCAACTTAGTCAGGGTTTGGGTGCTCGGTTTCGCGCAGCAGGAAGGGAAACGAAGGGGCCGGCATACCTGGGTGCTTGTTGCCGGTGAAGGGCACGATGAAGAACTAGGCACCGCTGCGACGGCGTGGCGTACGCGCCGATGGGCGGCCAAACCCTAGGACGGCATGGCCGCGCCGGGGGCCATCCGCCCAGGTAGACTTGCCAGCTCAGGGGCCGGAGAGAAGGCCGCGGCGTTCGGAGGAGGCGACCTCGTCGGGGGGCGACGACGGTGGTCGGCGCCCCCGAGCGCAGCGGCCGGGGGACGCCGTCGCGCCACCAGCACCTCGCACGGGGAGCCAGCGGTGGGGGGCCGGCCAGGACGACGCGAGGGGGAGGAGGAAGAGGAGGGGGTGGCCGCAGCTGCTGCGCCACGCGCGCCAGCGGCCATCACTCTGTCGGCGTCAGGAGAGCGAGGGAGGGAGAAAGTGAAGAAGAGAACGGAGGGGTGAGAAGAAGCCTCTAGAACGACAAGCTGAAGCCGAGTATTTATTATTGGGTTATTTGATTGCAGCCTTTTGTACGTGCAGCATTTGTAGGGGCGGCTGGTGATTGAGCCGCCCCTATAAATCGCAACACCGGGGGCGGCTGGTGAGTGAGCCGCCCCTACAAATCAACCCATTTGTAGGGGCGGCTCATATCATCAGCCGCCCCTACTATGCTATTTGTAGGGGTGGCTGGTCTCGTGGGTCCTGAGCACGCCCACTGTAGGGGCGCCTCCATTCCCAGCCGCCCCTAAAAAAAATGAGCCATTGCTACAAACATTTTCTGTAGTAGTGATGTATAATTAAAATACTTTTTTCCTCTCGGGTGCACTAGCTATTTGCAGTCAGAGGTCGAGGAACACAAGACCTCGCCATCACAATCAAATTACTTATTTACCAGTACTACTACAGGAATGATTTGTAGGGGCGGCTGGTGAGGCTTTGTAGAGACGGCTCGGCCAGCCGCCCCTACCATACCGTCTCTACAAATCATGCATTTGTAGGGGCGATTCCCAGACCGCCTTTACAAATCGATTTGTAGGGGCGGTTCAGTCTAGAACCGCCCCTACAATATATTTTTCTGTAAAAAAAAAATTAAATTTACAATTCAAATTCGACTATATATATATATATATATATATATATATATATATATATATATATATATATATATATATATAATTCAAATCTGACCACAAGCACAAATTCATAAGAATTCAGCAAGGCCCCAATCTATCAGCCGGAGTTTCCAAAGCTCACGATCTATCATAACATTGTAGACTCGAGCATGGATGCAAGAAAAGGATGATGCAGACCTAACTATCGCACGCCTTTCTTTCTTCGACCTCTTATCAGAACGAGAATTGAGCTCAAGTAACCCCTTCGGAGGTGTAATCCACATTTCTCTGCTTGCCATATTAACATCAGGTACAATATCTTCAGCAAATGGTATCCACACATGCTCACGTGATGAAATTGAATCTTGACTTTCTGAATCTTGATCGACAGCAGTACCCTCAGCAGAGCCAATCATCACCTGTAGAAGATCTCCACCTCCGAAATTGAAAACCTGACCAACTGTTCCAACGAGCTTGCCTGTATCCTGTGAAATGATTTCAGTTACTAAATTTGATAACAAGATTTCCCTGGGACAATAAGTAGTATATTGTGTTTCTCGCAAAAAAAGAGAGGATACTGTGTGTGCATTTTGGCTGTGGTGTTTACTACTCTATTTGCAGGGGGTGGACAAAGCAGTTTTGAAAAAGTATCAAATGGAGATCATAATTGTTGTGTCTACTTTTAGGGAGTGGAGGGAGCTATTTTAAAATACAAATCATTTTAAGTCTTAACAACCATTTACAGTGGCATCGACCTAAGTTTCCCTTATCAAGTAGTATAAAAGTGCATGGGGCATGCTTTTTAAAATTTCCTACATTGTACTCCCTCCATTACAAATTATAAGTAGCTTTGACTTTTTTTGGTACATCGAAATTGCCATGTATCTAGATATACATTATGTCTAGATACATAGCAAATTTAATGTACTAAAAAAGTCAAAGCAACTTATAATTTGGAACAGAGTGAGTATCTTAATTTTGTAACTAAAATCAGCCAATGAAGCGGCATTGGACAATATCTTGAAAAATAAAACAAAGATGTATGTACCTTCACAGTAACTCTCATTCCAACAAGGTCAAGTGAATAGAATTCATTGTCCTCAATTTCTGGCCTATCTCCAGCTTTCACAAGTACAGCCGAACCAACTATTTGCCTAGCCTGAGAAGAGAGAGGAAAATGAATTATGTCAGAAAACGGAACCTAGAGCAGTAACTCAAACTCAATGATGAGCAACATTCGATAGTTTGAACTGGACTACTCTGAAAGTCATGCCAAGCTCAGTCACAGAACTTGAGCCGGCCAGCTGTTGTGATTTGTGACTGTACATCTCATATGCAGACTGAGAGGAACAGAAACAGTGCAGCACACGATTTTGCAGTAAGTCAAGGATTTCCAGCAAGCTGTCCACTAACTATAAACAAGTATTACAGCTAGGATAATTGATTGGACTGCTCATCCTAGAAACTTAGCAAGGCTGCTTACTACACTACCACTTAGACTAGTTGAGGTACACCGTACACAGATTAACCAGCAAAAGGCGGGGCATTTACATATTTACCATTATTACGGATGGCATTGGGATTGGAGTGGCCACAGCCCACAGCCAATCGACGTCGGTGTTACCGTGGCGAGACGGAGCTCCGGAAAGTCGGTGCGTGGCGTGATGAGGACGAGGACGTCGCCGCACATCCCGTGCGTGCTGGACACGTATCCCACCTCGACCAGCTCCTCGTTCTCCGTGTCGTAACCCTGTTCCTCCTCCTCACCGTCGTAACCCTGACAAGTGAGATGTTTTGTCAAGTTAACATGCTTAAATAAGTGAGATGTTTTGTCACTGGCTTATTGAAGAGTCTTATTAGTTAACATGCTCAAGTTTGTCAATCACCTGAGGTTGCATATAACCCATTCCTTGGTTGTATGCTCCTTGTTGGCCCATCTAAAAAGAGCAGAAACAGTCAGGTGGAGGTCAAGTCTATTAGGCAAACATACAGTAGTTCGTATGGTGAAGACCTGAGATTTTGATCACATTTATACCCCTAGTAATTTTCTAATAAAAAGAACATGTGAAATGCCCTATTCAGAAAAGAAGCTAGAACTTGCAGTGCAAGCACATGTTGCTTAGGAACCAATACTTTGAGTGAGCTTGAACTTGCAGTGCAAGCACATGTTGCTTAGGTACCTACATGTTCCTCAAAGTTTTTTTTTCAGAATAGGACTCAAATTATATATATTAAATTGGTAGAAATGCAGCACATGTGTCATTATGAGCAAGGGGGAAAATGCAATTACTTGATTATAGATGGCAGATACAATCTGCATAAAAAACTGCAGTAAAGCAAAAGCTTCAATTGTAGATGGCAAGCTATCTTCAGGTTCTCTAAAACAGGTGTGGCATGGTATAAGGCTATAAGCTGGTTATTTGCACAGCTGAACATATGCAAGACTGAAAAACTACTCTAAATTCAACTTAGCATCCATGAAAAAAATTAAAAATCTGTTCATTGAAAAGAAATAATAAAACAGTTTCAAATCCTAAAGAGAACTCACCTGGTGCATAGAAGCTAAGCATTCTGTTGGCATGGTACCTGCAGGATCAAGATGCAATCAATATCAGTATCCTTAACACAAGTTGTAGAAGCAAAAAATTAACCTAAAGAAGGCACATATAACTAGCAGTGTGTACAAGCTAAGAAAAAAACTGAAGGAGATGAGCTAATCTAAAAACTGTTGCGGCAGCACTAAAGATTTTTAAGCAGAACAAAGTAGTGGGAAACAAAAACATATATGATGAACTAAATAATAGTTTAGTTACCAAATTAATTCCTGAGATGTGTAAAGTAGTTGCCACAGTAAGGGGTGTAAATATATGATGCAAAGTTTATCTGTAGCAGCTCAAAGAATGGTGCAATAAGGAAAGCCTGGAAAATATTGTCAAGGAGAGCTGGCGCTTGCTTCTGCAAGGAAGGCCTGTATCAGTAGTGTCAAACAGTAGCATATGGCTTTGTTTACACAACGCTGTATCAGTAGTGTCAAGCAGTAGCATAAGGTCTGTATCAGTAGTGTCAAGATTAAGTTACTAGTTACTTGTTCTTTATGGCCTACAACAATATAGAATTCCTTTCCAGCAAGAATAAGTTGCCTAACAGTAAGCGTTTCAATCACTATAGCTAGCATAGATTTCTTTTGCAGAAAGTAAGTGTCCAGGCCAGCTTACCTATTTCAATGTATCTTCTAAGGTCAATAACAATCATTACTTTTTAGAAAATAGCAAAAACTTACTATTCTAACAAGGTTGCATCACAAGATCAGCAGCAAAATCAACACACTATCTTCACTACCATTCTGTACATATTTTTTGACTTATAAAGGTGCTGTGATTATGCAAGAGCTTCTAGAATGAGACATCACAAAAGAATGAATATGATAGCAGCAACTAAAACAAACACACCCAGATTCAGCTCCTGTTCAATGTCCCTGAAGACACAGAAAACCAACTTGAGAAAGAGAATGACAGAACAAAAAAAAACAGATATAATTGTTCTCTTTTAATTGCATAATGGACAGTTTAACAAAAATAGTCACAAGCATACGCTGCTATAAGAGGAAATAGCAAAGCATGTAATATCTATCAGGGATACGATAAGCTACTACTAATAAGTGATGGATCCAGATCAGGAGCATGTGATCTAGCCTAGCAAGAGTCAAGGGGGAGAGGAGTAGGGAAGGGGGTGAGGAGAGATGCAACTGGAAGAGCCCTCGCCGCCGCCAAAGCAGCCTCCGCCGCCATCTGACCTCGAACCCTAACAAGAAAAAAAAAGATGTGGAGGAGAAGGGAAAGACCGGAAGGGAGAGGGGAGCTGAGGAGGCGCACCTGCCGCTGTCGTTGGAGGAAGCCAGGCGTGAGGGGAGCTGAGGAGGCGCACCTCCCGCACCACCCCTTGCGCCCTCGCCATGGCTCCCGGCGACAACTTGTGAGTGCCTCCGGCACCAGCGGTGGTAGAGGAAGACGAGGTACCCGCGCCCTCCGACGTGGGCGGATCGACGACGGGCATGACATGAGCGGCAGTGACGTGAGCAACAAATCCAGGGAGGACGCCACGACGCAGTGGAAGCCCCACCTCCCCACCCTTCTAGATCTAGATCTAAGAGGGGAAAGGAGGGGGTTGTGGCCGCACCGGTGGAGGGGTGGTGGCCGCACCTATAGAGGAGGGGATGGTGGCCGCAACGGTGGAAGAGGAAGGGGCAGTGGCGTCGTTGGAGGAAGAGAGGAGGGGGTGGCGACGGGAGATGGATGGGGCGGTGGCATTGGATCAGAAAGAGAGGAGAGGGGGCGAGGGACAGACCCAGGGGGTGGAGGCAGATGCGGACCTGAGTTGCGAAGTCCACGTGCATGACATTTGTAGGGGCGGCTCGTATTACCTGCCGCCCCTACTATGCCATGATATTTGTAGGGACGGCTCGTATTACCAGCCGCCCCTACTGTGCCATTTGTAGGGGCGGCTACTATGCTGGAGCCCGAGCACGCCACTGTAGGGGCTGCTCCAATGTCAGCCGCCCCTAAAAAAAGCCCTGTTGCTACAAATTGTTTTTCGCGTAGTGCGGCTAGCCATAGCATGTTGTAGCGGCAGCAGACAAGAAGCCAGAGTGAGTAAGTCTGGGCATTGCACAGCGTATGAATCCTTCAAGTGTTAATTAGGACTGATCACTAGACTATAGGCCCAATTCTTGTCAAACAAATAGAGTCAAATTACCTGACGGGCTTGTTGCAACCGATGGAAGCGCTGACACATTATTGCATTCAGCAAAATGGATGTAGTGCTTTCATATGATTGGAGCTTTGGGTATTTAGCACACGCCATGGAGATCGAACGATGTAGACAGCAATGTCATACTACTCGTGTGTGTTGCGTAGAGTCAGAGAGTATACTTGTGTACGGGAGTTAATATAACTTCTTCAATTTTCTGTTGGCACATGCAGTCCTAATCCCAATTAAAATTGGTGTCGTACCATATAGAAAACGGTAATACTTCCTTAGGCGTCCGTCCGGACGGACGGATCGACCCGCCCAGACGGATCGACCCGCCGCCGCTCAACTGTGCTGCGCGCCACACGCCCCCGCTCGGGCCGCCCGCCCGCATCATGCGCCCCCGCCCACATTACGCGCCCCCGCCGCACTCCACCTCGCTGCGTCCGCCTTCCCCACTCGCAACCACGCCTTGCCCAATCACGTTCACGACCATGCCCGTAGCGGCCACCGCAGCCTGATTGAGCCTTCAGACCTGTGCAGCGAGAGATCTGGTGGTGGCGGGGGCTGTGTGTCCTACGTGGAGCCCAAGATACCGGCGGCCACGAAGGGGTCCCCGCCGGCCTCGCGGTATGCGGAGTCGATCTAGATGATGGCGGCACTAATCGATGGCGGCGACATCGCAGCTGCCTCCGGTGAAGTCCACACACCAACGAGCATCCGTTCTCCCAAGCAACTAGGAGATGTTGCGCTAAAAGTGCATGTTGCAAGCGTATTTTTCAATTGTTTCAGATATTTCAGAAGTATGTTGCAAGTGTTTCATATGGATTTCACAAAAGTAGATCGAGATGTTGCATATGTTGTAACGGCTATATGCATATGTTGCACGCATCTGCTCCAAATGTTTCATCTGTTTTTTCAAACGTACGTTGCGGGTGTGTTCATCTAGATGTTGCATATGTTTCACACATATGTTGCAAGTGTTTCATCTGTATGTTACATATGTTTTGCAATGGTTTTTTCAAGTGTTTTCGGGTGTCCTTACAAGTATTTCAGAGACATATTTCAGGTGTTTAATTGTCTTCAGATGTATATTGCAAATGTTTTATCTGGATGTTTCAAAAGTAGATCGGATATTGCATATGTTGCAATGTACCCACCTGCCGTAGCCACCTACCGCAACTGCGTGAGAGTGGAGGGGGCGCGAGCAGTCCCCACGCGGTTTGGCAGTGCGGGCGACGTCTGGGTGGCGCGGGCCCTGCGTGTTCGCGTGAAAATGCAGGCACGGGGCACGGGGCACGGGTGTGCTGTTGTTGGCGCGGACTGCAGGCGCGCACGGGAAATGGAGTGTAGGCGCGGGTGTGCGGACACGGCCGGGCGCTAGCACTACCAAAGTCCAAAGCCGAAAAGATATAGGTCAAGTTCCATCATCGCGGCAATGGAATTGTTAAAGATGAATGAATGAATCAATCATAATGTAAAAGAAGGGAGGCGCTGTCCGGTTTAACTTTTTCTGCTTTACCAAATTAATGGAAGAAGCCATCATCAGTTGGTATATAGGTCTGCTACTCTCTTTCTCGTATATATACACCTGACAAGGACTTGATGCTCTGGTTTGGTGTCTAACAATATTTGCAGCTAGCACAGCATACTGTTCTAACAAGACACAGCTATAGGCCTATACAGTTTGACTACAAGTACGTCTGAGAAGCGAGAGAATCCAAGCCATGGGGATGGAGGCGAAGAAGCCTTATCTGGTCGCCATCGTCATACAGCTTATCTACGCCGGCATGTTCGTCGTCTCCAAGGCAGCCTTCGACCTTGGCATCAACACCTTCGTCTTCATCTTCTACAGAATGGCCGCCGCGTCGCTCCTCCTTCTGCCTGTCGCCATTATCCTCGAAAGGTAAGCAGTAGAATTAAGGATTAGCAAATTGTTTTCGATGGATTATTAGACATATACTATGCGAATACAGGAAGAATGTGCTGTCCATGTCCCTGGGGCTGCTTCTTAAGCTCTTCTTCTATGCCTTGATCGGGTATATATTATATATATGCATCTTCAGAAGTTGTTTTTATTGAATGTCAATCTTCAGAAGTTCAGATTCAGATTCAGATCTGTATGCCCATGCATACATGGTTAACTTGCAGGAACACATTCAGCTTGAACCTGTACAACGTGAGCATGAAGTGGACATCGGCGACCGTGGCATCCGCGTCCAGCAACTCCATGCCCGTCATCACCTTCTGCCTGGCGCTGCTCCTGAGGATGGAGGCGGTGAAGCCGAGGAGCATCTCAGGCACGGCCAAGCTCGCCGGCGTCGCGCTCTGCGTCGCCGGAGTCTTCGTCCTCGCCTTCTACGCCGGGCCGGCGCTGAGCCCCGTGAATCGCCACCGTGCCTTCGCTGTCGCCCACGCATCGAACACCAACAATAATCATCCCAGCAGCAGGATCACGTGGGTGAAAGGAACGTTCTTCATGGTCCTCGCCAACGTCACGTGGGCCCTCTGGATCGTCCTGCAGGTACAACAAACGTATCTCCGATTCCTTCCCTACTAGAGTATGATCATAATAGTGACATATATATTGCTAGTGAGATTTGGGGTATGATTATATTTGAACGTCATTTAATTTTCAGCTAATGAAGAATACAACTTTGTTTTCGTATTATTAGCATGTGCATTGACACCTACTCAGGCAAAACCACAACTTCCATTTTGGTAGTTGGCACTTTGTTCAGCTTATCCTATTTCACAATCACAAGGCAGTGGCCTCCATATATCTGCTTCTTGCATCCCTTTCCACATGATGGAGCAATGGAGAGAGCAAGTTACTATTTGGTATCTTCAGAGATATATAAATCATATGTTGTTAGGTTTGTATCCGTGCAGTCCGCATTGCTGAAAGAGTACCCCAATAAGATGCTTGTGACGGTGACACAGTGCGTGTTCAGCACCGTGCAGTCATTCGTTGTAGCAGTGGTGGCTGAGAGGGACTTCTCCAAGTGGAAGCTCCGATTTGACATTAGCTTGCTAGCCATCATTTACACGGTAATACACATAATTAATTTTTTTTTGTGTGTGCTTTAATTCTGTTTCTTACTACTATTTAATTACTAGGATCAATTAAGGAAGGTTATTGGCCCCGGCTGAAAATTATAAATGTAGCCAAGCTCCACCACTGCTTACACTACATTAGAGATTATTGCTAATAATGAATTGCTTAATTTCCCTGCTGCATGGACGTACGGATGGACCATCATCAAACTGATTGTGTTGGTGACAGGGGTTTGTGGTAACCGGAGTGTCCTACTATCTTCAGGCATGGTGTATGGAGATGAAAGGCCCAGTCTTTCTAGCAATGTCCAACCCGCTCTGCTTCGTCTTCACCATATTCTGCTCCTCCTTCTTTCTAGGAGAGATTGTTCACCTTGGCAGGTAATTGACTGGATTAGGTAATTAGCATGTATACATTGGTGTTTCAATGAGTTTTCATTTCATATATTTTCCCATTATTTGTCCTTGTATGGCAGCATCGTGGGTGGAGCTCTGCTGGTTGCAGGGCTTTACAGTGTGCTGTGGGGTAAAAGCAGGGAAGCCATGGAGTCCGAGGAGGGAAAGGACGCAGCCAAAGCATCGTCCGTGGTTGAACAAGCGTGATTATCGATGCTACCTCTGAGAAGATATTGCATATAAGTAAAGTTTGTAACTACCTCAGAACCTAAGCTCACTAATTGAATTGAATTCTCGTAATAGTTGTCGATGAAGAAGAAAAAGCTTCAGATTATTTCCTAGCATTGTTCATTGTCGTTATAAGATCTTGGTAATTGCTAGAAGAGATGTTCATGCGTCATATATATATATATCAAGACCTTTGACAAGAATAATTCATGGGGATGCTGGTGGGATCCTACTGTCTTTCTAGCAATTGCCACCCTTCGACATTCCCTTACTATTTTTTTTCAAATGCAAACTACCTCCACGTACTAAATTAATTAACTAATTATTGTGCTTTCAATTCCAGCTACATCTCAAGCACGTTCTAGACTGATTTTATCATTCAAAACCTATTTGAAAGGAACACACAATTTGTTAACGTGGAACAAGACTTTATACATGATGAACAACAAAATTGTACACCTAAAAGAAATCATGCAACTTAGGTGTACAAAACTAGCTATAAACAGAAGGAACAAAATGTTTATAGA